ACCCATGAACCTCCAAGCAGGGGTTGAGAGGGGCTCTGAAGCTTTTGCAATGGGCCGGGCAAGAGCTTAGAGGCTTCGGTTGGAGGGGCCTTGAAAGGAATTCACGGGGTCATAAGGATATGAAGTTCAGGGGCTTCGGTCTACGGGGCCTAATCAACGGGTTTATGCAGTTCATAAGGGCTTTAAAGTTTATGTTAGGGGCTTTCTGGGTGTCTTGTAGATGTGCAGGTGGTGCAGGGCCTGGAAAGCCTGCGTGCCGCGATTCTAAACCTTGCAGGTTTGGGGACGAACTGGGTGCACTGCATTCAGTCTTTCATGTGCCTCTTCCAACACCAAAACGTACAACCACTCCTGCACCCATACGGAATAAAACCTTTGGGAAACAAACTGCAAAGCCCACAACTTGAGAGACATAGCAATTGCTTCATGCATCCTCGAGAACCTTGAAACTGTGTGCCGGGATTATGTTTAGCTTGAAGGTGCTTGCCCCACTCAATGCAACGACGGAAGCCGCGCTGTAGTCCTAGCTTTGGCAGAGCGGTTTAAGCTGCTGCTGGACCTTCTCCAGGGGTTGCTGCTTGGTCAGTGCTGTTGAGAGAGAAAGGGCGCTTCAACTCCAATTCTTCCCAACCCCCCCCCCCCCCCCCCNNGGCCCTATATAGTAGGTACCTGGAATCAGCATCCTAAGAGGCTCAAAAAACTAGAAGCCTTGTCTAATTGTGTGGACCCGGAACTCTGATCGACAGGCCTTCCCTTTCTGGCGCTGAATGCGCTGAAGACGCTTCTCGACCTTGGCTGCAAGTCACTCTTAGACTTGCTGTTGAGGGAAGGCTCGTGCATGGGCTATCGGGGTCTTGCCAGAAGGCTTCAGAAAATATGGCCAAGGATTTGGAACACATCCACTTTCAAGCCTCTCAAGCCTCTTCTGTTGACAAGCAGAGATGAAGCAATGCCACCCCCAGAGCCCCAGAAGGCCTCCGTAACTGCTCTCGTTGCTTGCTTGTTGCGCCGCGGGCCATCCCCAGATCCGGACTTCGTGTAGAGACCCTGACAACGAACCAAGAGCCCCATTCCGAATTGTAGGTACTCCTGGTTCCATACCCTCCAGAAACCTGAAGCACTGAAAAGGCCCTGAAGAACTGCAAACAGCGAAGCGCCGAACCGCACACCAAGAGAACCGCTGTGAACCGCTATCTGGCTCCAAGCACGGCCCACGAATCTAGCCGAACCGAACCGAACCGAACCGCGAGTTCCCTGAAATCCCGCCCAGTAACACGAAACCCTTGGTGACAGCTCTCACATAATTACCGAACCTCCCTGCAGGCAAAGCCACAGCCTCCAGCGCAGTGGCGACCACAGCAGCTTCACCGACAAGCACAGAGCAAACAGCTTCTGCTAGCCGCCGCTGGTCCTGCACCGGCATTTCTATGGTTCTCGCTGATGATGCAATGCGTATTGTCATTGCCACTATCATTTGTTGTTCATTGACACCTCTATGGTTGAACGTTAACCCCCAAAAAGATAACCCGACCGGCCACAGAAACCCTTGTACCCCGAACACTGATTTCTCTGCTTCGGGAGCACAGCTTTCGTGTCATCCTGGTCAGGCCAATCCGACATCTCGTCTGTGTAGTCCGAGGCTCTCATGGTGGCTTTGGAGAGCGCCTGACATCTCAGAGCCAGCTGAGGGAGAGAGAGACCTGCACATTCCTACAGAAGCTGTAAAGAACAAGGACAAGTTATTTTTCATATGGGTAGTTCTCTAAATTCGGGTCCCTTTTTAGAACTACCCATATGTGTCTGTGTTCGCCTGCATAGGGGAGCAGACGGGAGAGGCTGTGGCATCAAATTGCGAGCCCGTGCAGACATTCTGTGAAACTTTAGGGTTTAGGGGTTTAGG